CCATTACACTTGACAAATAGAATCTTTATCTCATAAATTGCTCTCAAGGGCTACTGACAAAATGATCTAAAGTTTTGGAGCAATCTTAACGGTAGTTGTACAGTGTAAAGGAGAAAATTTTCTCACCTTTGCTATTCTTTTCGACATCTGCTTCAGTTTATCATCCGTGTACAAGTTTCGCAAAAGCAACGGGTGATTGGCCGCTTTACGGAACTGCATGAAAATACCGACTCCACCTGTGGAGGGCTCTGCATTCTCATCTGACAACTCTTGTGAATAGCGGGCCACCAAACTGTCGTACAGCTCCTGCTGGATGGGGATCATAGAGCAGCGCTCAATGTTCTCTGTCTTCTTGGGCAGCTGGTTGAGAACCTGGGGATGGCACAGGTCACAGACTGAGAGAGAAAGAAAAAAAAAAGAGAGAGAGAGAGAGAGACAGAGAGAGAGGGAGAGACAGAGAGAGAGAAAGACAGAGAGACGGGGGGGGGAGAACAGAAGAGAGAGAGAGAGAGAGAAAGATAGAGAGAGAGAGAGAGGGGAGGGGGGAGGGAGACAGGAGGGAGAGAGAGACAGGAGAGAGTGATAGAGAGGGAGTGCGAGTGGGAAAGCACGAGAGACACACAACTTAGACCATTCAAGAAGGGTTGAATGCTTCAGTTGTGCCTGACAGGGCCAAACCAAGGTTGAGAGGGATACATCGTCCCAGTAGATAGATGTAGATAATAAAAATCTCGTAACACGGGTATCAAACTCAGGTTTTCGGGAAATGACAAAGCGCTCAACTGCTGCACCATAAACACTAGTATTCAATATAAATCAATGTGTCCTGACGCTGTGGAATCAGGCCCTCGTCAATTCTTGGGCATGAGGAATCATATGGTATCATCACATTCATTTGTCCTTCTTTTGAAAGAGGTGGCTTCAGAGGTAACATTAGTGAGAAAAATAGTCGTCACAGTTCGGAGACTGTCATAGCTTGACAGTCCTTGTAAAGTGAAAATGTACGTTTTTTGTGCCATTAATCAACAATTTTCTGTAAAATCTACACAGAAATGTGTTTTAAAATTCACATTTTAGTTGTTGAGCCCCCAAAAAAAATTCCATAAAAATTGACAAACCGGCAGAAAAATGCCTGTTTCTTCTGTTTCATTATTTTTTTGATAAGTCCTGATTTCACCCCGACGCCTCACATATGGTAATGCACAGCAACAACTATAAAGTAAAGAAAAGAAAAAAAGAACTCACATTTTGTTTAAGTCTTCGTAGAATGAAAGGCTTCATGATCCTTTTGGCTTGAGCGATTCTGTCCCTTTCAAAACGGCTTTTCTGTTTGTCCTCGGACCTCTGGACAAGACCAAAAAAGAAAAAGAAAACAAACATAGAAAATGTTCTTGTAATTTTGACAATAAAAAAAAGTGTGTCAGTTGAGGATGGCAACACCTACTTGGAGCAATCACAAATTAAAAACAGTTCACAAAAGTGGCTAAAGACATGTAGCCGAGTCTACTGGCAAAGTTTATTTTTAGGGGAGTTAAATCTGAATGACAGTATAGATGCAGCCCAGGACCTGGAACCCATCCAGCAAACTATATAAAATGCAAAATGGAAACAAAGTTAAAGGACTGAATCTATAGAAATACATAAAATAAATTAAAACCTTAAAGGAAGGCAAAGTCAAATGGAGTGAACTAAGAAAATGCACAAATTTACTTTTTTTAAATGAATCTGACGTCATGAACTACAAAAATACCAGGACAGAAATTTACACAAAGTAGAACAGTGTGAACCACAAAAATAGCACAGACGTACAGTAATCATAGCAAACACTTTCTTCAGGTGCTCCGTCTTTCCCTGGAAGATCTCTGGCATGACAAAACACAGCAGAGACATCAGCTCCAGAAGGTTGTTCTGTAGCGGAGTTCCAGTCAGTAGAAGTCGGCGGTCAGCCTGAGGAAGGAGAAGAGAAAAAATGTTCTCTTGTCTCAGTTTTCATTTTTAAGTTGTTTTTTGGGTTTTAGTAAAGGTTTTACGGCGCTTGCAACAGCATAAGGTCATAGGAGCGCCAGAAGATTAGAGGTGTTACAAGAGAGTAACAAACATGAAAAAGGAGGGGAGATAAGGACGATAGAAGTGAAAGGAAAGAAGAAGCAAACCACACCAGAGCACCCGCCAACCAACCACAAAATCATTTTAAGTTGGACACCATTCTCAGAATAGGAACACAAAAAGACTCTCTTTGCAACACGTGTACAGTATGTTTTTAAGATCCTGTGGAATACATACTCAGGCAGTGCCGCATCGACACTACAGCAGAAGTTGTGTGAGCTAACAGAAAAACTGAGCAAGATGGCTTGGAGTATGATAGATAATGGACTTCAAGCGTGGTGCAGGAATCAAGAAGAAGAACAATTTTTTGAATGATACCCTTCTCAAAGCCATGCCACTACCTAAGTTGGTATCAAGCTGGAGAGCAAGGAGAAACACTCTGGTTTGACCTGTCAACAAAACATTTTTGAACCAGGGTTGAACCAAATTTCAAACCCACTTAGCTTCATTTTATCAGAAGCTTTAGTTATATCGCAGGTCAAACTCGTTAATCACCCTGCAGAAATGAAAAGGATGACAGACCTTTACAACAGCAAACTTGACACTGAGACATTTTTACTTTTGAACAAATAGCCTTGCACTTAAGATCAAACTCTCGGAAATAAAATCATACGAGATCTTCTTCCACTGAACATTTTTTTTAAAAAAGAAACGAAAATAACCTGATGACTTTCGAAACATTCATTCAAATCACTCACAATAGTTGGAAGATAATTCAACAAGTACTTTTTTGTAAATAAGGCTGACCAAGGGCACATTTAACATACTGGAACAGTAAGCAGATCTTTATTTAGGTACACCATGGTCATAAAGTATAGAAACCATAGAAACGACGACTTAACACTCCCTAATGACAACGATATCAGTGGAATTCTTTTTTTTTTAATGGAACCAGTAATACGGGGGGGGGGGAATACGGGGGGGGGGGGGACAATGAGGGACAGGTACCACAAGCAGCTATAAAATCTTTTTAAATGCTGTCAGTACTCACTGCAATCTTCATAAGGTTCTGGAAACGTAGAGAAGACATGTTCTTCAACATGTGACCCTCGTCAAAAACTGCGTAGTGAAATTCAAATTTCTTGAAAAGCACCCTGTCCTCGACACCACCCGTGGCCATATTGTACCTGTGCAGATAAAAGAAGTTATCGACACAAATCACGGGAAGCACTAAACACAATTCAGTCTGGAAATAAAAACAACAAACACCCCCCCCCCCCCCCCTCCAAAAAAAAGAAAAGAGAAAAATATCACGTCTAGCCACCCGTAACATAAACACTACAAAATATACTTCATCACACCATTAGAGTTATTTGGGAAAAGATATGATGCTAATATGTCCAAAGGAAATCATTATATTTTTAGGAGGGATGAAATGGTGATGAACTATGTCCAGAACGGATGATGATTGTCTATGGGAGATGCAGATATTCCTCGAGAAATGATGCGTCTTATTTTCCATTATCACCATTTACTTGAAACACGAATGTGTCAAATACATTTGTCAACTTTGACATGTTCCAGATATCCCCACTTTCCATACACCCATTATATTCAGAAATGGCTGCCAGAAAGGCTAGAAAATTAAAATTGAAAGAGACATTCAATCAAGTAAAGATGAGAAAAAGATTCCATCGTGTCTCCATCCTCAAACGAGAGACATTCATGCTTGTGTGTCAAAAGAGAACTTACGTTGTCAGGAGGACATTGAACTCCTCTCCTTGGAAAAAAATGGAATGTCGGACAGCCCTGCGTTCCTCCTGAGAGCCATAGTACACTACAACTTTGAGAGAGGGACACCAGAGCTGTAGTTCTCGTAGCCAGTTTTCTGTAATTAAATCATGCAAAAAATATTGTTAAAAATGGCTTTTTCTTTAAACCTTTGAAATTGTTTAACATACAAAAAAAAAAAGCCAGAACACTTTGGGCCCATGAATTAGCATTTAAAAAACGACAAAAAATTTGGTTGACACTGAACCTTTGAAAAGCAGACTTATATCATAACTCCCATACATTAACCGTCATCACTTGAGTTAGTCAGTATTTCAAATTTCACACATCTATGCGCTGATCTGATCACAACTTTTTTGAATTTTCAGCAATTCTTTGAGTTTCTCCAAGTTTGGGACACCTGGTCTGAAAGAGCTAAAAAAGTTAACGTATAACAAGCCAAGTTTGAAACTAATTGTCAAGTAAGGGACAACAGAAATGAAGAAGAAACCTCACCTATCGTTGAAGAAGGCACAATAATGACATGCGGCCCTTCTTCTCCGTGTTCCTTTAGGTGGGCAATGAAGGCAATGGCTTGTATGGTCTTTCCAAGTCCCTGGATGGAAAAAACAATGATAATGACTATCTCAATGACAAAATAAACAATAAAATAGCTAAGGCAAATGTCAGCGTGGATGGAAAAATAAAGCATGATAGTCATATAGTAGAAAGATGACCAAATGTTTCAATGTCATATTATCACAGACTTTCACTCAAGAGGGTTACCATTTATTCTGAAAATTCCAGAATTCAGTCATCTTCTTAACACTTTGCTGCTCTTCCAACATTCTGGATGCTTTTCTTGTTTCCTATTTTTCAAAACTAACATTACTCCGCAATAACTCCTCACCTGGAAGGACAATTCATTTCAATTTATTTTATCATTTCTGTCTGTCTCCCAGGAGACCTACAGCAGCAGTTAATAATGCACTCAAATGCCCCCTCCCCCACAAGGTTGGAAGTATTTCACAACCGCACCAACATAATTTAGATAATTTAGGAGGACAGGCCCCTTCAACCCTACCTGTCAGCACCACCCATGGCTGAGTGGGATACAGTATCCTAGCACACAGAAGGGGATACTCAAGAAAATAACTTTGCATGTATGGTATACCAGGGCTGCCCATCTACCAGCACTTGTTTTAGTAATCGGCAGATAAAAAATTAGTAATGTGTCTTAAAAATTCCAAATATGACCATGGATTGTCTTCTTCCCTGGATTATCAAGGATAGGGCTAGAAGTCCAGCAAATACAAAAGTAATACAAACAAAGCCATGATGAAAAAAAGCTGATATGCCATCATGATAAAGGACGTGATCTGTGTCTTTATAACAAAACAAAAAAAAACCTCAATTAAATCAAAATTTAAAACAAATCTCACATTTCTCAATTGAGCTTCTAGCACCAACAACCAAGAGTTGGTTGGGGTTGGGTTTTTTTGCAAGAACACTCACCATTTCATCTGCTAAAATGCCATTCAGCTGCTGTTCATGCATGATACGAAGCCAACTCACTCCTATCAATTGATATGGCTGTAGCTCAAAACTGTGCAGATGCAAGGAAAGAACAAAAATAAAATAATTCAGACACACACACGTTTTGTTTTTTAAATTGTCACTTATAAACATGACAACGCATAAATTCACATGACAAAGAAAAGGTTTGCCATAACATTTGAACACTATAAAAAAAAACGCTTTCTTTCACTGAGATGTGAGTCACATTTGAGACCTTTCAGTCTATTTTAATAAAAGAATGGGTATAACAAAGAATAACCCTCATGTGATACTAAAACCTTTTTTAAACAGAAAATATGTGAAGCGTTCTCGGAGTCCCAACAGAATGTGCGGAAGGTTATTTTCAGATTATATAAAAAAAATACACCTTGAACTTTATTACAACTCTACATAAAGTTTTATGAAAAAGAGTGTCATCGCAGTGAAATCAGGGATTCATCAAAATAACGAAATGCAAGAAACCAACATTTTTCCACCAGTTGGAAAAGGAATAGGTAAAAATATTCTTCTGAACATTTATGCACAAATTGTTCTTATGACAAACAGAGGAAAAGTTTTGCTAAAATTTGGATAGATGGACACCAGTTTTCAAGACAATCACCTACCATAGCATACCATACATGAAAGAGAAATTGTTTAGTTTATTAGTTTTAATACGAGTTTTATGACAATTGCACACAATTAGGTCACATAGGTGCTGAAGATCAGAGGTGTCACTAGAGAGTAACATACAAAGAAAAGCAGTGAGAGATAAGGACAAACACATTCTACGTGGATATGTACAAGAAATTCTTACGGGACATATAACTTCAAAAAATTTTCAACCCCCCATGAACACAATTTAGATTGTATAAGATGCAAGGCTGCTTCAAGTCGACCTTTAAGAACCTGAGCACAGTAGAATATAGCAGGGGAATAACATACCTAAAGAACACACCCGCAACCAGCACACACACGCCACTCCTCCGACGGGAAATGAACTAATGTTTTTGCATGCAACTCTGAAAAGCGCAAGCATTGCACCAAAGACTCAAGTCAAAGACAGTAAAATTCATTTTAAAATAGCCAGATGTGTGAAAATTATACGGCAAACAAGTCAAAGACAGGCTCCAGACAATTTTCCAATACCAGCGAATAGTTGAAGCAAGATCACTTACTCTTTGTTAAGCAAATCTGGCTGCTTTGCTATTCTGTATTTATCACCGGCCCCTTTCGTGCTCTGGCCTTCCGTCAGTCTGGAGACAACTAGGCCCATTTGTTGGGATATACTTTCACAGCGTATCATGAGTCGTCGAATGGCATTGCGCACTTGCATGATTTCTTTACAACCAGAGATGAGAGATGTCGAGAGTTGCTTCTCAGAGCTGAATTTTTCATACTGCAAGAAAAGATCAAACTTGACTTGGGTGCATTCATGAGCTACACTAATTAAAATCCAAAGTGATAAACGGGGTCCTGCACTGTGAAAACAAACAGTTTAATGTTTACAATAATTTTTATTGTTCTGTTAATTCCTTTAAAAGGGTAGCATGATATAAATCATCTTTATTTGCATAGCTCTGCAATATCACAGCACCATCTAAAACATATCAACACCACCAAAAAAAACCCAAAACCGATCTCAATATGTCCATCACTCCCTGTATAGCACAACTACAAATACAGCCAAAGTGTTATATTATATGCATAAGATAATTTGTAGAAAAAAAAACCAAGCTAGATGTTTTTGTTCAATCTCTGATAATGCTAGTTTTTCTGTCAACCTCAACGATAAAGAACAAAAAATGATTCAGTCAAACACAAAAACAGAAATGGACGTCATTTCAATATACCATTAATTGCTAATACATCCAAACATCTTGAAATGAGCTGACCAAATATTTAAAATATTTTAGATATTGAAACACAAGATGAAAAAATCCACTTTTTTGTAAGGTCTAATAAAGCTCATAATATCTTTCGACTTACCAAGTTCTCCCATGAGGTGAATGGTCGTAGAGATATAATAACCTCTGACTTCTTTTTGGAACATCCTGGCATTGCAGTCAACTCTTCTTTAGTCGCCTCTTCAAAAAATTGTAAAAAGCTGTCTGTCTCTGTCTTGCTCCTGTTATCTAAATCCTGTAATGTAAACAATGGTAAAATGGCAGACAGAATGAGTACGCATACTTTAAGGTATCGAATAAGCGTACCCCCCCCCCCACCCCCACCCCCCTATTGATTTTCAGATTTTTTGCACACCCCTCCTCCTTATTCCAGACCGACCCCTTTTATTATTTTCCATCTTACCACGACCGACAATCAAGTGAAACATCTAGAATCTAGACATGTGAATAAAACTTTTTTTTTTTTTGTTAATGGCAAATTACCCTCAGTATTAGTACTGGTACCAGGTTGGCTCCCTCAATTTTCTGTGCATTTTAAAAACTTTTCTACATTGGTTTATATATCTTTATGAAACTGGTTCGTTACAAAAGGGGAAAAGTTGTTGCAGTAACTTAACAAAATCACCAAATAGACCTGCATGTGAGCCTCAACCAGATTGTCTGAAAATTTTGCGCACCCCCCCACACCGAAAGAGCTTTTTTAAGTGTCATAAAAGGAAGGACTTCCGAATAACGAGCAACCACCCCAACAAACACAATATTATAAAGAAGAGACCTAACTCTAACCCAAACCCTACCCTACCCCAAAAAAGAACCTGCAACGGCCCTTATGTAAAAGGCCAGCACAAGTCCAAAATTTAAAAAAAACAAAAAAACAAAAAAACAAAACAAAAACAACCCCCCAAAACAGAAGCATAACATGGCCTACTACTTTGCTATGATAGGGTTTGATACAACAACACAATAGAATTGGAATATATGAATCGTCCATTTAGATCTAGTAATCTAAATAAATCTAGAATCCAGACTCTAGATCTAGATCTAGAAGAACAAGTGAATAGGAATAGGAGGCCTTGAACGAGAAATCCGCATCCGATTCCGAACACTCGAACAGAGAGAGGGACTCAGCTGATGAGTCAAAGATCCTAAATAAATAGTTCACGCACCTGACGAAATGCGTTTTACCAACATTAATATTACAGCACAACCTATAATAGGGTTTGACACAATAGAATTGGAATATGAATCCTCCATTGAGGTCTATAATGATCTATAAATCTAGATCTATCCAGATCTAGAACAAGTAAGTCGGACTCAATCTAAGAATGAATCCACATGAACAGTCAACAAACGAAATTCAAAATGGCCGCTCTAGCACGAAACTGAAAGTAGATAATTTAGGTCGTCGTCCTTTTTCGTATTCGTATTTCTACTCAGGTTACGACAAACATCGGCGGTCGGCACGAAAACGAAAGTGCCGACAAAGCCGACAGGAGAAAAAGGGTGCGCTGGCAGTCGGCCAGGCCTCGCACTTCGCACATTGACTTATACAGTGTACAGGTACGCCTTGCGATAGCCGGATTTCAGACGATTGTCGGCAAACATGCAGGTCTAAGACTAAAGAATTTCATGATCTCGTTCTTTTATTCACCGAAGGAGAAATAAAACAGATTAGTTCCTACTAGTACAGGGGTATGAGGTTGAATACCCCCCCATTCCAACACCCCCCTATTGATTTTGAACCACTTGGGCCCCCCCCTTACAAAGCAATCTCACACATTTTTTTTTTACCAGCAATCATGTCACACTAATTTTGAAAGCAGTACACATAAACATAGGTTGCTAAAATACTGTTCGTTTGTTTGGTTTCGGTGAGTGTTTTTAAGGCGCTCGCAACTGCATAAGGTCATATGAGCGCGCGGGACACACCTAATATTTTCAGTTGGTAGGAAATTTTGAATTTTGCCCGGGTGGCGGCCGAAGCCTACTCTAATCAAGGGATCTTTAACGTGCGCAACTTGCACACCGGCCCTCCGAGATTTTTCGCCCTTGTCCGAGAAGGCTAGGTGTAGATCTTTCTTACCAGAAGATCAGGGGTGTGGCAGAAAGACAGCAATTAGGAGGAGCCAAGGAGTAGCAGTAGAAAGGCTGCAGAAAGAGTCAGGAGCCCAGAGAAGGGGGCAAAGGAGGTGAGGGGCTGGGGGCAAAAAGTGGAAACGAAAGCAGACAACAGAACATTGCAAAAGAGCAGGAAAGGAGGTGAAAGGAGACAATTTTAGAGAAGAACATTTTTCGGTCGCTACCCGGATTCGAACCCGGGACCTTTGAATGAGAGGCCAACACCTTAACCTCTAGGCCAAGAGAGCCCCCTAAAATACTGTACACAGGATATATGGAACAGGAAAATTCACAAGGACCTGCATAATTCTGTACTTTTTTTTTGGTCTCAGAAAAAGATTATTGCTCACCATACAACAGGTGAAAAAACCTTACTGTTATATTCTAAGCTATACAACTAAAACTTGAGTGTTCCAGGAAAATCTGTAAAAATCTCATTCCAAGATCAAATGACATCTGCATTTTCCCACAAGGACATTTTATGACGCTTAAACATAATTCCAGACCTGCCACTCTATGAAACCTAAAAATCAGGAGCTGGTGAAAAAAATCGAGATCAATGACAAATCACCAAGGTGACTGCCAAGCTGACTTAAAAATTTTCCAAATATGTTTGTGAGTGTGTTATTATTTTTTAAAACCCTGAAGTATAACGTCAAGCACTCCCAGTCAAAGCGTTCCCCTAATAAGTCCCGAAAGACATTTCAACCAGTGTGCATGAACTAAAGTTGACCCCATTTCAACGGACGGTCACCGACTCATGCGGAACTCACACACCGAAGTCATGTCACTTGACATGAACTCGTGATTGCAACAGTTTTTACTGATGGGTCTTGATGACAGGCCCAACTAACCAAAGCTCGGATGAAGCTGTTTTTGAAAGTTACACCAGAAGTACAAATAATATCAACCATTCTTATGTTGCAATTGTAACAGTTATCAGGCCATCATTGGGGAATTCTGAGTGGCAACAAAAGCTTAAGTAGATCTTGAGAATACCCCAAGTCGGAATGTCAAATCGATACTACTTCGATTATAGTTGAAATAACACAAGCGAGCAAAGATCCAACACAACTTGGGGGCAGGCTAAGTAAACTCCTAAATCCAGCATCGATAGTTCGGAAAAACAAGGCTCCAAGTTCCTGCTGACAAAAAGTTCAACAGGTGCTTCCCGCGACAGAGAAGAAGGCAAAGTAAGTTTTTACAAAAATCCAGCGCAACAGACAAAACAAAAAAAATCCGGATGTGTGCAATAGAAATTGGGGTGCCTGAGATTTGGGGCAAAATAATCGCGATATCCCAAATAAATCATGGTGATTGGCAGGTCTGCATAATTCACAGAATTCTCTTCTTTTAGAAGTATAAAATGCGATACGTCTAAAATATCACAAACATAAACCCATGTATAAAAATATCATTCATCAGAAGAGAGTAAACTTACTTCACTGTCATCACTGTCTCCACTGCCATCAAACTCATCCTCATAGTCATCTTCATCATCACTAAAATCAACGTCCCTTCTCTTTGCTGGAAATACAAAAGAATTTTAAAATACACATCGGTCAACATTACCAAACTAAACAAAACAGGTCCAAGCACAGCATAACATACTGCAGCTATTTAATTTGCAAAGACAAGCAGATGAACAGGAACTCTGATGCTATTCAACTGCAAAGCTACCAGCTTTTCTTTACCTATTGGTTGGCAGCTATGTAACTGTAATCATTTAATATTGGAATACGATAAACAATCACTCATTTCAACAGAGCTCCATACTCTCTTAAAACTAAAGACGAATATTTGAATATATTGATTTTATTGCTACATCCCCTCAGATGACACTTGACATTTTGTCATGTAAGGTTTATCATTACGGATATCCTTCCACAACTTTTATGAAAGAAAGGGAACTTATCTTCCAATTTTAGAGTTTCTCAAATGTGTGCTAACTTAGAAGAGGGCAGTTGTCCGAAGATACAAAGAGCATATACATTTTGACATATATATTTAGTAGAGCCCAACAAAAAAGTCCTGTAATACATATCAAAGGCTACTTTCAATGGCAAAAAGAAAGATGGGATGGCATTTTTCACCTTTCACTTTCACTGTGGTCTGAAGAGTCGAAGCGTGTTTCTGTGAAGTCATCTTTTCAGTAAGCATGGATAGAGACTTCTGAGGTTTCCCAGTTCCCGTGGTGCTTGGTCCTGCAACCCCAGGCTGACTCTCAGCCGACAATTTCTCAACAGCCAATTCTGTATCACCGTTGCTTGCTGCCAGGACACTTTGTAAATGCTGCAAAGAAACACGGAATGGTCGAGTTATTTTTCACGTGAGAAAGATCAGCAAACTCTGTAGAACTGGACCGTTAAATGCCATCAACAAAAACCGGGTTAAAGAAAACCAGCATACAAATCTACCATCACCATTTCAACTCATTTCAGGTAAGTTGATAGCCAATTAAAAATTCTATGAATTAACTGCTGCTGTTATTCAAGAAACCAAAACATAATTAACCTTTACAGTGGCAGTCATAGCAAATGTCATGCTACACAACTATTTCTGTTACATGAATGTTGTGATATGTCATTTCAAAGGTTCAAAATATTAATTCTCAAATTAATTTTCTTTTAAACAGAATTTTTTTTAATTCACAAAAGACCCAACAAAGTGAAAGGCCATGGAATGTGTTACCTTTTAACCATTCTAGCTTTCTTTTTTTTTGTTTTTTTTTGTTATTGACGTTTTGGTATTGCCAGAGCTTGGCGAAGTCCATTAAAAAAAAAGGTCTTCTTGTTAACAATTACAGATGGAAATGATCATTGCTTCTTGTTCACAGTTTAAAGGTGAATGTCATTGATACCGTTTGCATTTTTCATCAACTTCATCAAAAAGTAATGCATACTTTGTCCAGTTACCTCTCAGGCAAAATACATTTATTGGGCATTTGGGAGCCATTTGGTGGCTCAAATCTTGACTTTCACATCATATACTGATTTTCTCAAAAACACTGTGCATTCTGGCACGATGCACGAACGGAAATAGGGTAAAAAAAAACACAAAGCGAAAAACAGCTGAAATGTAAAAGCTAAATCACATCATAAAAATGTCCTCAGGGAACAAATACCTTGACACTCTTTGCTGGAAAACATCCCTGAAGAAACTCCACTGATTTCTGGTCTTGACTAGATTCTTTCAAGAAATCCACACTGACTACTTTGGGTGGAGATGGTGACTCAGACATAGGTTTGATGCGTTTGTAACTCTTTGTGATACCTGGGTCGTCTTCTCCGGCGTCTTCAGGGGCTGGTCTCTTCTCTGCACCATGGAGAGAGTGAAAAAGTTTAAGGAGAGAACAAGTAAGAGTACGAGTTTTACTGCACTTGCAACCAAACTAGGTAAAAAAAAGTGCACAGATTAGAGGTGTTACAAGAGAGTGACAAAACAAACAACAAATGTTGAGAGATAAAGGAAGATAGACATTTGATAGGAAAGAAGGACCAAACAACACCAGAGCAAAGGAGAGAGCAAAGAATTCAACGAAGACAAAGACAACCATATCAAAAAGAATTATTCAGTGAACATTTCCAATACATGAAATAACCAATTAACACAGTACAATCAAACATCATTATACTGCTCCTTGCTATACTGTACTGCCAGGTTTTTACCAATGCATATATAGGAATGCCTGCATAAACTTATCCTTGCCCATTGAAACCACCATCTGCCAACTTTTCTGGATTGTAGTCTTTACTTAGCAATGCCAATGAAAAATGTTTTATTTGGTACCCAAGAAAGGGTTTTCTATTCGAAGCATCTATGCTCTTTTAAACTAAAGAATCGGTTCATAAACAAACAAAAAAGTTATGAAGTTATAAAGTGCTGCAAAACATGGATGACTTACATATAGGAAAAAACTCATAAAAAATCGACAACGTAAGAACAGATTTTGTAAGAAAATCGATGATATGTAAGTAATTAATTGGAGTGTTTGAAAGAAACTTGGTTTCTCTGTGTATTTTGGGGTGGAGAAATCATTTCTGCAGTCAGATTTACTAACCATTTTGTAGTCATTTTGTTACGATTAAAATTTTCATGTACATATGATTTTGAGAAAGAGGGAAGTCGGGATGTAAATATTTTATTTATAGCTCATTGTATCACAACACGGGATCTTTAAGACAAGAATATGTTGGCAGCGAGACTAAATAATGGCAAAACTTTCTTTGATGACTATAGACCATGCCAACCATAAAATATCATTCAATTCAATCGAACTTGTTGTACAATTAAAAACCTTTCTTTTTTCCATGGAGACGTGAACACCCCCTCTACAATGTTAAACTAAGTTACAGGGGAACAGAAAGAAAAATAACCAGATGCGCGCGCCATTACTCTATTTCTAGTGACCAATGAACGGGCTCGGAATAATCATGCAGGGATTTGTAGGTTACATATATTTGCTGAGGGAGTGCAAGGAAAAAGGCCGTTTGGGACGCGCGCAGGGTGGGGGGTGGAGTGTACATTTATAAATTCTGGACAACTTCTTGATGTAGAACTTCAAATTTGAGGACACTATAGAGGAAAGATAGATGTCTTACCATCTCGATGTTGAAAATCAAGCTCTTTACAGTTTATGGGCTACCTAATATGAAAGTGTTTCCAACACCAAAAATATAGTTTATTTATGTTTACAAACTTTAACGTCCACATATCATTAGTTTGCCCTATTTTTTAATTGGTTGCCAAGTTTCATTCATATTGGTGCAAAAACAGAGCTGACCATGTTGGACAAAGTTAGTCACCTATATTTCGAATCTGTCTAAAAATACACCTGCAAACAAAATTTCGCAGCGTACGCGAGTCCGATCGGCATTTGCTGCTTTACTTATGCAAATTTGCCCAGCAACACTACCAGCAAATTGGCTACCAGAGGTACACACTACAAACAGCGCATGGCATCTCTCAGCAGCTGCGCAGTGATAATCCCCTTACTTCAACATACGACTCTGCAAGCTAGTGCCTGCCGCCAGTTTGTTCCCTCAAGCAGTTGAGAAGAAGCCAAGTGTTTAAAGAAAATATAAGTATGACGCACTTCAAAATCAAATCACTGAACTATCCAAATGCTAATAAACAAACATTAAGTGTGAGCTCACTTGTACTTTCAGAGGTCATAAATTCCACTGCCTTGTCAAAGTTCTTTGGATAGACAATGAGTGCTGCTCGCATCCTGTTTTCACTTCCTAGAGGAAACATTATCCTCAGTTTTTTAAGCCACTTTTCATTGATCTTGAGAGGCTCTGGCTTCCCACCTGGAGACTCATCACTGTCATCACTGTCGGGTTCAGGACGCTTCACTCGCTTGAACCTGGTAAACAACAATTCAACATTATCACACATTCTTATTGCCACTTAGACATTCAGCATTTTGTGTCCAACCTGAGAGTGGTGCCAGTTCAAAGTCAGTGTTAAGAGATCTGTGTGCGTGCTTGTTGGTTGGCCGGGAGACCGAGGGTGTCAGAAGTTAGGGTACTCGGGTGGTGGAGCACCCTAAAGCTGTTCCCTCTTCTCGAGGTTACCCTGTTAAGCCTAGGCATCGCGGTCCAGGAACAGAATGTGAATGATCTAAAGGAGAAAACCTTGATAAAAAATCCCGAAGCCTAAGGAGGTCCAGGGTGGAATCCAGGAGCACGACCTGTCGACAGCACCCCCAAGTATCCGTGGAGGACATGGACCCAAGCTTACGGTGTCATCTTCGTGCCTAGAAGCTGCATGGCTGTGGGGAGTACAGTCACGAACGAGGATCGTCTGGCATGCGAGCGGGGCGGCACCAGGCGGACGGACCTTCTGGTTCCCAGCCCCTTGTCTAGTATGAGGCTCTGCTAGATGGACAGGATACTTCCTCAGTATTTTGCAAACCCACAATGAAAGATCTAATTAATATTAATAAAAAGGGTTCTCGCAGGAGCTACGGTGTTCGTGCTCCTTGCTCGAGCTCTTCTTCAGGAATAAAACCAAAAAGGAAACGCGGAAAAAGGGGTGGGAGGTGGAGAAAGAGAAGCGCGAGAGCTAGAAAGACACAGTTAAAGAGTCAGCAGTTGGGAAAGAGTAATCTTCGGATTCTCTACTGGAATTGTCGTAGTCTGCAGCAGAGAGGGCTCGTGGCTGAAACCCTACTTTACGGAGCAGACATCATATGCCTCCAAGAAACCAGACTAGGGGACAGGAACTTCAATGTTGCCGACTTTGCAACGACTCTTTACAACAGGGAAGGGCATGGACAGGTCACCCTGATATGATCAGCAATCAAACATCAGGAATTGGATATGAGCCGATGGGCGTCAGAAAACCTACACCTGCTTGCAGTAGAGCTCACTGATCAGCCTGTAAGAAATGTTGTCAACGTCTACGCCTGCAACGGGATAGTCACTGAGGAAGAGTGGGCCAAACTTGGCGAGATGGAGGAAACACTACCTGGAAAAACAATCTTTTGTGGCGATTTCAACGCGCGAGGGAGTGATTGGGGAAACACAGTGATAAACCCCCCAAGGGACGAGACTGGAAAATGCCCTGGACAGATGTGACCTCACCTGCATCAACAATGGAAGCATGACCAGACTAGCCACAAGAGATGGGGACTCCGACAGTGCTATAGACCTTGCACTCGTCTCGGTAGACCTAACAACAGACTGTACATGGAGAGTATTACACAACTATAGCAGCGATCATATCCCATGCACAGTGTTTGTAAAGCGAGGAAGAAACAGCAATCATCAAAGACAGAAACGAGTCTTCTTCTACCCCTCGGAAGGCAACGACCCCATCAGTGTACTGCGAAAGAGCTCCAGGCCACCCAAAATACAGCATAGAGTAGTGGCACAGCAGCCACCCTGGTGGAATGAAGAGACTGAGGCATTGTGGAAGATCGAACGCCTGGTGCTGAGAAGACACGAGAGGGACAGATCAAACGTACAGTTGAAAGCTGAGAAAAAGCTAGCAGATCTCAGATTCCATGAGGCAGCAAAAGAAGCCAAGGACCTAGCATATGACAACTTCTGCCGGGGCGTGAACAGTGACAGGGCCCTGTATCAGTTCTGGAACTTCTACAGGTGCATGACTAATAGGAAGAGCAAACAA